ACAGTCTCGCACGTGCCCTTTTTGGTAAATAACTAAATACTTTTAATATTTTTCACTATCCATCATGCAATTTCCTGGTTTTTTTTTTTTTTTTTAAAAAAAATTGTGAATTTTTTATAGGTAAAGAGAACCAGAAGCTTAATTTGGACTGGTCAACAAGAAAGAAGATATGTATGGGAATCGCAAAGGGCTTAGCTTATTTACATGAGGAGTCAAGATTGAAAATAGTTCATAGAGATATAAAAGCCACAAATGTGCTTCTTGACAAGGATTTAAACGCTAAAATATCGGATTTTGGTTTGGCAAAACTTGATGAAGAAGAGGATACTCATATCAGCACACGAATTGCTGGAACTATGTGAGACTGCATATTTCTTTTTATTTTATATTATTTATCACGGAAATTCACTAAAAATGTGACATATTTTTATGGTGTAAATTTGTAGAGGATATATGGCTCCGGAATATGCAATGAGAGGATACTTGACAGATAAAGCAGATGTTTACAGCTTTGGAGTTGTGTTGTTGGAGATTGTGAGTGGGAAAAGCAACACAAATTATAGACCAAAGGAGGAGTTTGTCTACCTTCTCGACTGGGTAAGTTCAATTTTTTTTTTATTACAATTACAGGAAATAGCAACGTACTTTGCTTTTTTTTTTTTTTTTAATATACATATATGGGCGATACACTTTAATTTTTATCCATAGTGATACTAGTAATGTATTTACGGTTTCTTTTCAAGAAAAGAATTTTTAAAACTGGTTACCATTTGAATTTTTTTTCAACTTTTTTCTTATGTGGTAATATTTGAAGATTTGGCAGTTTTTTGACACATTATTGTTGGTTACATGCCACATAAGCAAAAGAGTAAATTCAATTTCAATCTAAGTCTTGCTCATTTTTTTCGGTTTTGGTCCATGAAGTTTCCTTTTTGCAGTTTTCCTCCTTATTTGTGGGTTTTCATAAGGGTTTTGGTCACTGAAATTTCCTTTTTCATAGTTTTGGTCCTTATTTGAGGTTTTCATATTGCATTTGGTCCCCGATCCAAGTAAAATGACTATATTACCCTCGATCATCTTTCTCTTTGTAAAATTTGTAATATAATAATAATGTAAAACTCATTTTGCTTTGAGCAGGGACCAAAAGCATTAAAAAACAACAAATAATGACCGAAATTGCAAAAAGGAAACATTAGGGACCAAAACCAAAAAATGAGCTAAATCAAAAACCAAAACTGTAGTTTCCCTCGAAGCAAAAAAAGTTAAATGAAAACTAAAATTCGTTAAAAAGTGTTGTGTTTGGTAGAAAATCACAAGTACATTAACGGGTATTTCTCTTAAGGCCCAAATTAATAACTTCTATTTGTAATCAGGCGTATGTTCTACAAGAGCAAGGGGGTCTCTTGGACTTAGTGGACCCAGGTCTTGTTAAATACTCAAAAGACGAAGCATTGATGATGTTAAATTTGGCTATCTTATGCACGAATATATCACCCACACTTCGCCCACCAATGTCATCAGTCGTCAAAATGTTGGATGGGAAATTACCACTTCTGCCCCCAGTGGTGAAACGAGGGGTGGGGAATCCCGACATTAAGTTTAAAGCTTTTGACATGATGTCACATGATAGTCAAACACAAGTCTCAACTATCTCAGCAGATAGTCAAGGCCCCAGTCTGTGGAATGATACATCCTTGTATAAGGATGAGACACAGGGTACGTCTTCTGAGACGAAGCTTCTTCCCGATCTTTATGATGTTGATATATGAATCCTTAATTTATTTCTTCATTTATAGATATATTATACATGTGTGAGTTGTACAAAATATGTTTAAATTTTTGGTTGTAGGTCTATTATCGCAATGTAATTTTTGCAAAATTTTGTTTAGATTTGTCTCATGGGCTATGGTTTTTTATATATATCCTTCAACTCTGGCATTCCTGGACACATTTCTTAGTTTTTGTATTCTTTGTCTGATAACAAATGTTCTATAGTGCGGTTTCATTTTGAATTAACAAACATGATGACAAAAATTGGTCTATTCAGATATAATTTAGGGTTGTCCCCTTTTGACTTAATGAGTTAAGCACTTAATATGGACAACCAAATATGGTTGTTTCTTTTTTACTTAATGTGGGCAACATGACTTAATGGATTATGTCAAAATTTACCCTTCTTTTTCTCATCCCAATTCCTCTCGTGTTTGATGAATATTGTTGAGTTGATTAAATTGTGACAATTGTTTGTTAGAATGTAACGGTAAAATGGTCATTTATTTTTTACAACACTTCATTTGGACTATATTCGGTGGTCATGGTCTCCATGTAGGACTTAAGAAAAAATTAAACCCTTAGTCTATCTATGATTCGGTAAAAATAAAGATTAAATACAATTGTGTTTTCATGGTTAAAAATAGGGCAAACTATATAAAAGCCATTATATTTTGGTCATTTTTGTGGTTTAACCACTATATTTTCATTTCGTTAATGAAATTCATCCAAGTTTGATAATTTTTTATATGTCGATTTGACACTAAACTTTGTGTGGGAACTAAAATACGGAAAATGTACGAAGGAAACAAAATGACCGCACTTTGCTTATGAATTACATGTGCGCAAATTGCATATGATGAAAATGCTACAAATGATACACACAACGAAGATCAAGAAACAATTTGATGAAAGAACAAGATCAATACCCGAAGAATTGAAAATGTACGAGTTTGTGAAACCAAAAAATTAAAGACGAATGAATATTGGAATTAATTTTGTATTTAATTAGCTAGTTGTTGAAAAAATTAATTATTTAATTACTTTATAATAACTAAAATTAATTAACTTCAAGAAATTAATAATTAAAGACCAATGTTTTAAAAACCGGTTTGAACCGGCCGGTCGAACCAGTTGGACCGGGAACCGGGGAAGGGAGCGGTTCAACTATCACCGGTTTTGCGTCGATTTCTGGACCGGATTAAACCGGCCGGTTTTTAGAAAAACTCGGTTGAACCGGTTAAACCAAATAAAAATACATGGAAAAAAACCATTTTCATAATAAACTTTGGTGAATTTTTTAAAATCTATATAGTTTTCTCTAAATAAAAACATATGATAAATGTTATAAAGTTTTTAATGTATTTGGAATGATCTACAACTTATTTGTATGTGTACTTTTAATGCTTGAACTTGTAAACGTCAAATTCATGATTTATATATGTATGTATGTATAGGAAAATAAGAAAAAATATGAAAATTACAGAAACCGGTTGACCCGCCGGTCGAACCGGTTAAACCGGTTGGACCAGGAACCGGTCACTATACCGGTTCAACTAAAAAACTGGTTTTTAAAACATTGTTAAAGACCAACGAAAAAGAAATAAGATTAAAACGTGAATTATAGAAAGAAATAAGAATGAGATACGTTCTAATTATTTTTGATATAGAATAATAAAACTAAAACATTATTTCTACCACTTTTGATAATTAAATTGAAGCTATAGTAATATTATAATACGTTTTTATACTTTTTTTACAAAACATTATTACCGCGTGGTTAGAATATTCTTGGACCGTCGTCCAAAATGGAAAAGGTTGAGGTAGTTGTGTTGTCAACATTTCAAATTCTAGGTCATGGATGCAAAAAAACACATTGATGAGACCACAAATTATAACACGACGTAAGTTAAAATATTAATATCTATATGATAATAAATAAAAGGTGTCTTATACATTAATTGTGTATAAACTAATCACATTAAAAATGATAAATTAGAAAACGATAGAATAGTCATAATCATAGCTTTTGAAATGGTAAACGCCAATTAAAGAACACTGAAAGGTAAAAATCAAAGCACGACAACGACAGGGACCCGTATGTGTGAAAGCTCCTCTTTTAATTTTAAGTTACATGCAAATTTTAAATCGTGTTTATTAATTATGAAGTAAATTACAGTTTTGGTCCCTACGGCTTACATGCATGTGCATTTTAGTACAAATTTTCAATTTTTAACATTGCTTGTCCTCGTGGTTTCCAGAAGTTACACTCATGGTCATTTGTCTAACACCGTTAAAGTTTTCTGTTAAGTCCAATATTAAAAGAATTTTTTTTTCACTTATAACAAATTTGATAATCCTTATACTTCAATGACAAATTCTAAAAACTTATATGTAAAAAAGAAATAAAACCACAAATCAGTAGTAGCCATTGTTCTCTCTAACCTTTGCCCTCCCCCTACTTCCCCCCGACAGTGCCTCTGACCAAGCATTATTGTAGGTGTAGCTTGGTGTTGTCGTTCATAATGGAGGAGTTGCCATCAGTCTCCTTCTCCTTCATCTCTATCTCTATCTCCCATTTCAGTGTCGTCATTGCTCTCTCTCTCTCTCTCTCTCTCTCTCTCTCTCTCTCTCTCTCTCTCTCT